CACAGCGGTGTGGAAGGGCTGTGGAAGAGGTGTATGGAAGTGTCGTTGTGGGCCTTCGTAGATACTAGTTTATTACAGATACCTCTGGAACAAAATATTACGAACATGTTTGGCAGGGTTGGCTACAGCCGAATGTTTCAAAATGTGAAACACATTCGGGTGTGCACGGAGGTTGGCCCTTGACACCATGATTGGGGACTAGTTGGCTGATGGCTGTGCGTAGGTCATCAGTGATCGAGGAATTGGAGTCGAAATTGACTCAAATTTAAGTTAAATTTGGTTTGATTCCTATAGAAAGGTAGGCGTGGCCTAACTCTGGTTAAAAGTTGGACTGTTATCAAACTTCAGCCAACCTTGGTTAGTTGGAAGGTTCTGAATGTGTGACGGTGGCTATTATTGGTTTTACTACATGCAAGTAATAGAACTGCTCTCACACTGACGTGGTGAAAAATTAATTATATTTCAGTCCATACCACATGGTACATGTATGGATGAAATATATTGTGTTCTCTCATGTTTCTCTTTCTCCTGCCACTCAGTCAGAGGGATTCAACTCCGCCATCATTCAGCCAAATGACCTGAAATTTGGCATGGAGGTAGAGTGGGCAAATACCCCCAGGCGTTTTTTTTTTCATTTATTTGATACATGCCTTTGAAAAATTTTAATGAAGGTTTTTGGGGGCATTTTTCGACAAAAAATGGATTTTTGGATCCTGAGCCCTGGTATTACAACCAAATTATCTAAATTCAGTATAAGGATACCTTGAACGTGTGCATACAGAATAGCAGTCACAGACATACACCACTTCCAAATGACTCATTTGGGGGACTTTAATGGCTATTTTCAGCCAAAAAGGTCGAAAAGTGCTATACCTGTTCCATGTTCCATCTAAAGAATGGCCCGTTCCATCTGCCGTTGGCCATCGAACAAGTGTTCCATTGCGGGTTACCTGGGTCACGTTGCACGTACATCGTGCGCAATGACCCACACATTCAATATTAGACTGAAATATGCTGTATTTGCTCCCAAGCAAATGTCGGCCTTTCTAGTTAAGATTATATTTCCTCCAACTGTACTGTCACACTTCATCAATGAATAAGTGAGTATTATTTTGACCCGATTGGTCTACCGTAGCCGTCTCTATACCGTAGAAAAGTCTGGATTATATTAAAAAAATTATATGAGATGTTACAACGATACTCACCTATACATTCAAAGCTGGTTGCGTTGTTGACAAGTACAGGCATACATGTACTACCGCTCGGGCACGGGTTTGGACTGCATGGGACACCCTCTAAAAAGCATAAATGTACAACAATTTAGTGAAGTCTGTGCTGAATTCCGTCAAATCGGTACCCTTAGGTGCAGTTGTGACATAACGTCACATACGCATAAGTTGTGGGGTCGTGTGGCGTAGCGGCAGAGTGCGCGACTCTGAACTAAGAGTCCCGGGTTCGAGTCCTGACATGCCACCTATCTTGTGCCCTTGGAAAAGGTACTTTACACGGCTTTCCTCACTTAGCTCAGGTGTAAATGAGTATTGTCCTGTAATGTATTTGTCCCCTGTGTTGGTGACGAAATTAATATAAGTTGAAGAAACTTGAGTGAGTCGTCACGACGTCTGGTGATTATATGTTGGAATAAAAAAAAACAGCATAAGGAATGAATAAATTTTGTTGTACGTACATCCCCACTGGCTTGAATACAGGTTACAATCATAAGAATAGCTTTTACGAAATACACATGTATACATATACACGGTCATGTTAGGACTAGTCTATTGAGTAAATTCGAAATGATCCATCGGCAACTCTGTCTGTCATCACTGTCCAACACCACGAGACATTCCTCGCTACTACTTTACACTCACAGAAAATAATCAAAGCATAGATTAACATAAGGCCACAACAAGTAAATTTTATGGATGACATCCTCCGCCGACTCCAAATCTAATGCGAGCGGGCGAAAAAATAACAAGGCGGGCGGAAAAAACAAGGTTCCTACATTTCAAAATGTTGACTCAATCATTGTACAAATGGTTTTTATTCAATGCGAACAACATATACACAGCCAGCATCACATATCACTGCATCAAAGTAAGAAACAAAACATTAAATCATAGCCTTTTCTTGTCTCCTCTCTTCAGTTATCTGCCTCCCGGCATGGCAACAGAAATCTTTGCCCATTTTCGGCATGTTGAGCACTGTCAGAGGGCAACAAAATTTCTTGTTTTTTTTTCCAAATCAGGCGAAAATTAATGCGCGCGCTGATGTCATCCATAAAAATTACTTGCTGTGGCCTAAGTATCGGAATCTTACGTCTGCAGACAGGTAGAGAGTCCGACCAGGTGCCGTTTGGACCATTCCGGATGCAGGAGATGGAGCTCGGACCAAACAGCGTGTAGCCGTCGTTACAGCTGAAGTCCACCTGACCGGTCACGAAGGTGGTTCCCTGCGTGAATCCGTTCGATGGCGCCCCGGGATCGCTACACTCCGGCGCTAAGAATTAGGATGGTCGAATGACTGAGTCGACTAGAGCTACGCTCTGAATGGGGACACGTTTATTCGAAGTACCTAGGCTTTGATCTTCTTATGTCAACTTCCGCACCACACACACACACACACACACACACACACACACACACACACACACACACACACACACACACACACACACACTCAGGTACACAGTCAGATACATATAGACGCGCACGCATGCACACACACACGCGCGCGCACGCACGCAAACAAACACACACACACACACAGTCAGATACATATAGACGCGTACGCAGGCACACACACGCACGCACGCACGCACGCAAACACACACACACACACACACACACACACACACACGTACACACATACATACATACATACACATACACACACCACACACGCATACACACTTCAATGGTATTCTTCAACCTTACTCCAGCCTGGTAACAAAAGTTGTTACACGTGTACAACAAACAGGGACCACAACCATCTCTCAGATCAGGAATATCTACCTGTGTTAAGCCAGTTCGCCATATCGTTTCCAGAAGTAATCGCCATGGCTGTAGTAGGAGCGATGAAGACTCTGTCCTCACTCCCCGCGATCTCTACCAGCTTGTTCCTGTCCACGTTAGGCCCGACTCCCACGGCAAACACGTGGATGCCCTTTGATTTAATAATTTTGATTTGATTTATTCAGTTGAGTGATTTACAAACATTATGATTTTCCTTACCAGTTAATACGATTTTGTTTGATTTATGCTTGTGAGATAAGTTCCATTGATATGCAAATTCCTTTCGCTTTAACTCATTTATGTTGGTTGGATTCTTTATGTTACCTTATGATTAATTGCACACTTGTGTATAGTGATTATTTTCGTCTTATTTATTAGTGTATTATATCCTCAGTTACTTTGTTTGTATTTTACTATGTTGGGGTTTACCCCCCAGGTATCATTGAAAAACGCCGACAAGGCGATATGTATCACCTGGATAAATAAATGAAATGAAATGAAAATAATACATAAATAACAACTAAAAAAAACTCGCTGAGGGTGGAAATGAGCACATGAACTTATACAATATAAAAACGAACGCCCTGAAGAAGACTTTCATCTATAGATCTTTAACAGTTTGGAATACTTTGCCACATGAGATACAAGCAGCAACTAAGAGTAGGTTTAGGCAGGAGATGTTAGAGCACATGCGTACATAGGCACATGTTGATAGGCACGTGTGATGTTACTTTTAAATGTTAAGTTAAATGTTGTATGTAAATAATGTTGTAAATTCGATGTAGTGTATTTGTACTATTGTTGTGTATTGGTTTTACTTAAACTCCAGAAAGATTAGCTACATACTTGATTTTGTACCAATGTCTTGTGTGTCGCTAATGGAGTTTAATAAAGCACAAAAAGCACAACATGAAATCCCACTGCATAAATGGTGGGGTCGTGTGGCACAGTCGGTAGCGCGTTCGGCTCACACCCCAGAGGTTGTGGGTTCGAACCCCACCTTGTCACCGATCTTGTGCCCTTGGGAAAGGCACTTTACACGACTTTCCTCACTTCACTCAGGTGTAAATGAGTACCTAGCTTCGGTTACGGACATCCCTCGGATAGGACGTAAACTGGAGGTCCCGTGTTTGAGGAGAGCCACACCTCGAGCAAGTTAAAGATCCCACCACACCTTTCGAAAAAGAGTAGGGGCATGCCCCGGTGTGCGATGGTACAAATACAACTGTATGGAGTTGGTGATTCACTCAAATCACCCGGACGGAGGCCTGGCGACCTCCGTCTTGTACAAGCCACATGGTGATTAACTTAATTCACCCGGACGGAGACTTGGCGAACTCCGTCTGTATCAGCCAAAATCTTGGAGAGGAGATAGGCGCCGCCAAGATTATAAGCCTGAGGAGTCATCGTGACAAGTCCAGACATGCTGCTGGCTGTCATGGTGCCCCGACGACCGTCAAGGTTATGGGACTTACATACATTACATACATACATACTGCATAAATAACGGTAAATCTGAGTTACAAACTTGTTTGCGAGCTGCCTCTGAAGCACTCACGACGTCATCTCTGAAGTTGGCGTCTGTCACAACGACAAGGGCGTCCGGTATGTTCGCACGGTTCCCATTCTCTGCACTAAAGCTGACCTATTGAAGCAATGAAGACATCGGTAAATAACATCATCAGCTTGGTGAATTATTCAATAGCAAAGTTCATTTTCGCAACCACTTGTTTAACCCTCAACAGCACACTTTCCCGGACTGAAAAATCAGTAATTAAATTGGTTTCAACATAAAAAATTTCAGGGTTTTATATTAAATAACACTTCCTGTCTGTCATTAATAACATCTTACATAATTAGAGATAAGTTAAATCATTTAATATTCATAATATATGCTAATTTGATGACGTCATTGGTCAAAATCCAAGATGGCATAATTATTTCCCCAAATTAAAGCTGTTATCAAGAAGCGACAGCGGGCTTTTCACTCTGGAAATATGCCATTGTATAGAAAGCTTAGAAACAATGTGAATCGCTTGTGTGTGAAGGCAAAGAAAAGACATTATTTGCGTAAGATTCAGGTGCTTAAGAAGGAGAACCCAGCTAAGTGGCACATGCATCTACGAAATATACTAAATTTTCGGCGTAGCTTATCAGTTTCCGTCCCCAGCGCTACGTCCTTAACGGACAAGGAGATTGCTGATGTGATCAACCGTCACTTTTCAGACATCGTTAACCAACTTCCATGTTTAGATCCTGAATCATTGCCATCTTACTTACCTTCTCCTTCCAGACCACCACAAGTACATTCCTGGGAGGTCTACGAAATTTTAAAACGCATTGATGCAAGAAAAAGCTGTGGTCCCGATAATCTGTCCCCCAAGATTGTCAAAACCTTTGCCGTTGAATTGAGTGATATATTGGCACATATTTTCAACTGTTCTTTGGATGAGGGACGAATACCCAAACAGTGGAAAGAAGCCATAATTTCACCCATTCCAAAGAAAAGCCCTGCAACAGTTGAAAATCTGCGTCCCATATCACTCACTTCTATCTTGATAAAAACGTTTGAATCTTTTATCACAAAATGGATCCTTCTTGACATAAGCGACGTTCTTGACCCTAACCAATATGGCAGTAGAAGGGGGCGATCATCTGTTCACTACCTCACTAGTTTGGTTGACTCAATACTTCTTGGCGCCGACACCCCTAAAACTATCCAGACTGTCCTGTTAACTGATTTTAGCAAGGCATTTGATAAAATTGATCATACAGTATTAATCCATAAACTGTTAACTTGTGGTGTACGTACTTCTATTGTACCATGGATAAGTGATTTTCTCAGTGAACGTACACAGTGTGTTCGGTACAGAGGCGCAACTTCTGGTTGGGAGAGAATTTCATCAGGAGTTCCTCAGGGAACCAAATTAGGGCCTGTTCTCTTTTTAGTATTTGTAAATGAGGCAATGGAATCCTTTGTGGATAGATGGAAATACGTAGATGATCTGACTTTAAAGGAAAGCAGATTGTTAAGTGTACCAACCTCGATGCAAACATCGGTTAATCAACTTGAAATGTGGTCGTCAGAAAATCATATGTCACTAAATGAAGATAAGTGCAAAATAATGAACATCACTTTTATTAATGACCCTCCTCCTCCCCCCGATATCCTTCTTAATGGTAAAGTCCTTGAGCATACAGAAGTGGCATGCATACTTGGACTGTGGTTGACAGCGGATATGAAATGGGATAAGCACGTAGAGGTCATTACGACAAAAGCAAGCTCACGACTCTACTGGTTAAAGAAATTAAAACGTTTCGGCCTTCCCATCAACGACCTTTGCGAAATCTATTTATTATACATACGACCAACCGTTGAATATGCTGCCCCTGTATGGAATGCCAATATAACACATCAACAACCCGATAAATTAGAACGAATACAGAAACGTGCTCTAAGAATAATTTTAGGCCCTCAATACTCATGTTATGATGAAGCCCTTTCCCATTTTGGCCTCTGTACCTTGAAAACTAGACGAGAATCGCTAAGCCTTAAATTTGCCAAATCTCCGTTGAATTCGCCGACGTTTAGAAACTGGTTGCCCCCGCTACGGAAAGATGTTCACAACAGAAATTTAAAGGGCAATAATCAGCTCTGTATTCCGATGGCAAGATCCAACAGATATAAAAACAGCCCCATTCCATACTTCACTGCACTTCTGAACAACGTCAGGTAATCTATCAGTGTGTGGTAATTTTTATTATGATTATTGTCTAATTATTTTAATTATTTTGCAATGTATAGTAGTTTCTATAGATTTTATCAAGTGTTTTATTCATTTCTTGTAACTGCCTAATATGCATAATTCAGCGACTTGTACTATGTACAAGTCGCTGCAATGTATTTTAGTGTATTGCTTTCAATTGAAACAATAAACCAATTATATATAATTACACCAAAGTTGTTAGAATTTAATTCTATTAGTACACAATTCTCTAAAAATTTGGTGACCATACGATAAGTGCATAAAAAAGAACGCCAGTGTATCCATTACGATCGAAAGCCGGCTGGGGTTCGCGCGGACCCCAAAAGAAAATCAGATATAAATATTTTTAAGAATGGGGGAAACGGGGTTTTCTGTACTATATTGAGGGACAACTTGTCTTTGTGGGTAACAATTACCTGAAATTTCAGAAAAAAATCTTTAGAAACAAAAAAATATTACAGCATATATAGTGCTGGGGTCCGCGCGGACCCCAGGTGTACTGTTTAGGGTTAACAAGAGCCGACTGATTGAGTTCTCACAAGAACCAGGACACCCAGCTTCAGTTCACAGTGAACCAGAACGCTTAGCTTCAGTGACACAGAGAACCACTAAAGAACTAAGGAAATGAAGTAAATACAGAACTATGCTATTCAGTCTTATCATGAGACAAGGGTTCTATATGTTATCTGGCTCAAAAGAACAAAAGACATGAGAGGAAATTCCTACCAACAGGTATTAACCTTCGAGGTTTACAGATTAATATAGACAATTTCAATAATACGAGTGTGGCATACCGTTCGAGCTTTAGTAATGGCTTCTCCAAGTAAAGTGCCTCCACCCAATGGCATGATGCCCTGGATTTTCTCAAGGGTCGCGTTCTTGTTTTGATAGTTTTTCAGCAAGGACTCTTGTTTAGTTTGATCGCTGTACTGCGCCAGACCGATGTGCGTCTCGTTGTTACGTAGTGGCAACCTCTCGACGATTTTCTCGGTGACATTTCGAACTTTCAGGAAGCCTGGCATCCCCACGCTGTCCGAACTGTCCAGGAGAAACACCAGGTCCCAACCTGGCCCGTTCAGCCTGTCCAGCCCAGAACCAGTACCTACATGAACGGTAAAATTGTTTGTTTGTTTGTTTGTTTGTTTGCAAATAATCAGAGAAAAGAACAATAAAATGAACATATTACAGTAAAATAGGATATGCAGGGGAAAGATAAGAAGCCATAATGGCTTGTCCGTGATCTTCTCCCGACTAGATTAATTGACAACTGTAATAATGGTAACAAATCAAATGGTAATAATAAATAACAATAAGTAATTGGTAAATAAATTAGAAACGGTATGTTAAAATTTAACAGAGGTTTAACTGAAGTACAAACATAAACAAAAAATTGAAGCAATAACTCCAGAATATATAAATGAATTTTAAATTTAAATCTTATATAACATGTAACGGAAAATTCAAACGTATACTTTATACTCAAACTTATATAAAATTAATTCTTATCATAACCTCATTTTGTATTATTATCACCTCTTATGTATTACCTCTTATCTTATTGTATTCTATAAGAAGATAATGTATTTTTACATGTTGTATGTTTGTACGTTTGTCTGTATTCCTGTAGGTTGGCTGTTACCAGCACGAGCTGCCTTGGCTGACCCAGTGTAATGAGTCGTTAAAAAAGTAAAATACTTTGACAAGATGCTAATTTTCTGGCATTTTTTCTAAGCTGAGGCAAAACTAGAACACGTGTAATGTTAGGACAAGAAGTCGTGCAAACAAGCCAGTTCTAATTCATTTGTTTGCAAGTTTGGAAAATTCTACATTTTTATCATGTTTAAGAACAACACGAGTCTTGACACTTATCTAAGTGACACAATTGGTATAATGGCATATTATGTTATGTTGTAACTAAAAGAAAACCATTTCCATTTTAGCTTCGAGGAATGCCAATAGTTTGTGCTGCAAACAACGTAATACTATGCTGAACTGGTAGTATATACGAAACTGAAGATCACCTGCCATTCTGTTAAGATTCGCCCATTCTAACAAATTTTTATTTTCAAACAATAAATGCCAAAAATAATGTTTTAACGAATGCATGCATAAAGGAATCTACACGGCCCAACGCGCTAGCTTGGGCGTGCTGACGGTGAGACCTTTTGTAACTGTACGGGAAAGGTATCGACACGGCCCCGCGCGCCTGCTTGGGCGTGCCGACGGCATGACCTCCCGTGACTGCACGGTAAATGGATCTACACGGCCCACGTGCACGGGCCAGCCTGGGCGTGCCTATACGGCGAGACTTCTTGTAACTGTACTGTGGGAAAGGTATCGGCAAAGCCCCGCGCGCCTGCTTGGGCGTGCCGACGGTATGACCTCCCGTGACGGCACGGTAAAGGGATCTACACGGCCCCGGGTATATGTATGCTGCCGGATGAATAACAATAAAGCAAATAGTACCTGACTGTCTAGTTGTCAATCCTGGGATTGGAGTTGTCGCATTGTATGCTGTAAAAACAAACAATATCCGGTCAAAAAAAATCTTCAGGAAAAATAAAACTATACATGTGGTCGGTATAATTACTGTTGCTAAGTTCTCGTATATAACACGTATCACCCCTCTATCTGTTGGATGGAGAAGTTGGACATGCAAACAAGTGTTTATTACCTTCGCCAAGAAGGTTATGTTTTCGTTGGCGTTCGTGTGTCTGTGTGTGTGTGTGTGTGTGTGTGTGAGCACGATAACTCAAGAAGGCTACGATGGATTGTCTTGATACTTGGTAGGTGGGTAGGTCTTCATGAGACGTGGAACTGATTAAATTTTGGGCCCCCTAACGGCTTGTTATGGTACTGCAGCTGAACTTCCGGTTTTGATATCTCGTGATCTAGACATGCTGGGGTGACGAAATTTGGATGGTAGGTAGCTCTTGTGCTGGGGAACGAGTGACGTGAGTTTGGACCCCCTAGCGGCTTGCTCTGGAATTGCAGGGGCATTAGTTGAAAAATGTTTAAAGGCGGATAACTCAAGAACCGATTGATGGATCGTCGTGATTTTTGGCATGTAGGTAGCTGAAGTGATGCTTGACATAATGTTATTACAATTATGCAAATATTAATGTAATTTGCATAATTGATGAGGAAATTCTATAAATCAGCTGCATTCCATGAGAGGACTATTCAAGCTTGTGATATATGTAATGCAGAACGGCAGAAATACAGGCAGATATCGATTATGCAAATGAAGACTTAATTTGCATAATTAACGAGAAAATGTTATAATTACATAGTGGTAATGTCTGGAATTTCATACTTGGGATATTTGAAAGTTATGTGAAGGTGAACATTATTAAACATAATTTATTCAAATAAGGACCTCATTTGCATAATTTATGAGGACATGCTATAATGGCATGCATTGATAAGATAAGACTGTCTTCTGGTGTAGAATATGATCAACAGATATAATTGATGCAATATAGGATCCTATTCGCACAATCAGGGGGATTCATCTATAATTTCTTAGTCATAAAGGCTAACATCATTTGGCGAAGGTATGAGATCGTGGAACTCTAGTTTACTTATTTATTCCATCTCAATTACTTTACTATATATTTTCTGTACGATTTCAATTGTTTGTAACTTTTACAGAGAGAATTACAAAATGCAGCTGATAAACGTACCACAGTTGCGTCCGAATATTCCGGGGGGACACTGACACTGGTATCCCGAGGGAGTCGGATAGCACACCCCTCCATTCAAGCACGGATTGGGGGTGCACGCCGCTGGAAATGGATAGAAAACTCACTATATGAATAAGTAGGATTTATGAGGTCTTATTCTATATTAGGCCACACCGACTTAATTTTATGGATGACATCCGCGCGCGCATTGATTTTCGCCTGTCGCCCTCAAAAAAAAAAGATCACCCCCACCGAGGCTCTGGCCTGGCTCTAGGCCTGGGTAGTCCATGGTAGTCAGCGACAAAACGGAGCCGGTGGTAACCCTGACGGCACCCAGGCTATCGAATTCGAAGCTCCACGACTCAAGAACTCAGTACATAAGTACATACCGATTCATAAATGCCTCAAAAAGCAAGCATGTGCCGGCTTGTCGTATATGTCGCTAAGTACTGTCGCGAATTTACAATACCAGCTTTGTATTCCTGTGGCTTAGCAGCATTTTTATTTTTGGCCGGAATTTTTTTTATTCGCCCGCGCGCACTAGTTTGGGGGTCTTCAGAGGATGTCATCCATATAATAAAATTAAATCGGTGTGGCCTTAGGTCGTATCCTATACTTCTTTGTACCATGTGCAATTGTCGAGCAATAAAGTTCAAAAGTGCAATAACCAGTTCATGTCCGTAAAATGTACAACTACGTCAGTCAGAAGGGTACGACAGACACACGTTCACAAGGTTGAAATTCTACCTACAAAACGGGTTTTTGCTCATGTGTAATCAGATTAGAATAAATCAGATTGCGATGTCTCACAAGAAGCTATGGAGCTCGGAAACGCACAGTCTACATTTCATTTTCATTATTCGTTTTCAACAGAAAGATGGACTTTTCACGGTAATGACAGATTCAATTTGTTTGCGGTTAGTTTAGTAGGGTAACTTGAAGAAGGTTTTACTGACGTTTGCAGGTTGGAACAGTATTACTCCACGAGCCGGTGGAACTGCTGAAGGTGCCAGTGCAGGTGAGGGGAGTTGTTCCGTCCAGGACGAAGTTGTCGTCGCAGCTGAAGTACATCCTCTCTCCCTGGTAGATCGTACCGCGCCGTATGCCGTTTGCCGGATTTGCGGGACGTGTGCACACGTCGGCTGCAATAAGTTAAGATACGTTTCTTGCAAATTACTGTCTGAAGGCAATTGCAAATAACAAAGGATAAAAGAACATCTATTAGAAACAGAAGGCCTATTTAAGGTCTGCTTACCAACTGGCAGTACCGACGCCAGAACTGACTTCTGGGGAAGGCATCAGAGCGTAAAAGCAGACTGAAGATGTCGTTACCCGACGCCAGGAGGCGAGCCGCAAAAGAGTGCGTCAGCTTTCGCCTCCTGGCGTCGAAGGTGTCGACACCCAACTGGGCAAAGAGCAGGCTGAGACATGATGATTTTGAAAGCATCGTGGTAAGCAACTCGCAGCCTCTGCAACACACCTGCGCTATAGTTGCATAGCTGTATGCAGTACATGGGGAACAATGTGCTACAAAGAGTATACGCTTAATTGTCTAAAACTCTAGCTATGTCTAAAACTATGTCATGTGATGTGATGTGAGCAAACAAAAACTAAAACAAAGATCAGCCATGAACATACTAATGTCAGCCTAATGTACTCTGTTGTGATCTAGTGGCTCTCCCCTGTGGTATTCGTGGTGCAAGTTGTCAATGAGTTTCTTATTCGCATGCACAGCCCATGTGATTAAGATCATTGATACCATCATAACATCAGTTTATTGGACAGTCGGAGACTAATTACGTGTACAACGTTTGGCTTGATGTCAGTTGCAGAGAAAAAAAGGACGAAATGACAAGGAAAGGGCAAACATTCGGAAGGACATAATTATAAAACGGGATTAAAAAATAAAAAAGGCTTGGTTATTTCACCTAGGCAAAACCACCTCCAGATGGCTGCGACCGTCTCCACGTGCTGGGTGTCATTCGTTACTATCCGAACCTTGTAGGGATCTACCGCCATGACCCTCAGAGCCTGGCGGTTCACCGCGTCGCCCGCCCCGACGGCGAAGGTGGTGATCCCCTGCTCACGCACGGCCTGGGACGCGTAGCTGATGTCATCAAACGTCATGCCGTCCGTCACCACGATGAGCGCATCGGGCCATTCCGCGCGGCCGCCGTTTGCTGTAGAGAAGCTAACCTGGTGGACAATGGTAAGGGAGTTAATAATAATAATAATAATAATAATAATAATAATAATAATAATAATAATAATAATAATAATAATAATAATAATAATAATAATAATAATAATAATAATAATAATAATAATAATGAAATAAACAACGTATCCACCAAAGTACCTGACAGTCACATTCTGAGATTGTTGTATTTCCTACTGTAGTGTTAGTCAAGCTTGGACCTCTATGCAGGTGTATACTAGTACGTGATGACGTCACATTGACGTAACAAAAGTCGGTATGAATTATCATGTTACAACATGGCATTTATCTTCAAAAATATTAGAGACGTATTGTCAACCAAACTGTTATTTTCTAGAAAGCCAAGAAAGAATAAGTACCTCTTTCACGTAGGTAAGTGCACTCCCGGCAAATGTACCACCGCTACGCCGTTGAGCCGCATTGATTGCTGTTATGACCGCAGACTTTGTGTTGTACGTATTGAGATCAAAAATCGCCGCCGGGTTGTCGCTGAACTGGACCACGCCCACGCGAGTGTTGCCGCCGTCGGTGAGGAGTCGGTCGGCGATGTCGCGGGTCAGGTTCTTGACGCTGCCGAACTTCACGCTGCTGGTGGAGTCCATGAGGAACACGATGTCCCAACCCTCACGAACGAGGCGGTCACAGTTCCCAGCTAAGATGAAACAGATTGTTGTTATCATGAAAGTTCATCTGTGTTGGTAGTTACATGTTTAAAGTTAAAACTTTTGTTCCAACACAAAAAATTCTTTCACCTAGAGCTTTCGACCAGTCACTCTGGTCTTCCTCAGTAGACTGACCCAGTGAAGCTTGTCACGTGGCATCTTTGAAGTGTGACGTCAACACTGGGTTAAAGGTATCTAGTGTACGTTGCTGTTGTTTTTTCCCAAATCGTTAAATGTTTTCCTATCAGCATCGCAACCAACATGATAGTTGATTTGACCAGAATAGAGTAAAATCTATAAATTTTCATGTCTTTATGATATCTGCACGTGATGTTACAGTAATAATGACGTAAGTACCCCGACCAGCCTCGTAACCCCTGCTCCTCCTATTGGGTCAGTTAGTCCTCACTACTTGTGAGGATGTTTCTGAATCAGGGAGAAGAGTTGCTGTTACAGTTACAGGCTAGCTCTATGCCTAGATGTGGCCAATGGCCTTGCATTGAGCGACACCGTTAAAAAAAAAGTACACAAATTAAGATTTTCATGGCAACTTGCATGTAGGAGTATGAAAACAACATGGCGGATAATATTCAGGTTACAGTTGATGACAAAGCCCTATATATGTACGACAGTGACTTTTGTACACACTCCATTATTTTTTGCGTTATTCAGGATTGGAAACTTACTCCTTGTTCATACTAAGACTTGCAAATATTTACTTCAATATTTAGCCGGTTTATTACTTAGCCGGTTCACGACACTACCAGGACCCGTTGACGTCTGACATTCGCACTGCGCCAGCTTCCCTCTTTTGGAACCTCTCACAAGCTTCTGGAAGCGGCAGTAATGAGTAGATATGGGCCAAATAACCTGATAACATGCCAGGGTAGCTGGTCCGCGAATAGGTAAAACTCTCCTGGCATGTTACGTGTCTATTTGACCAACTTCTACTCTTCCCAGCCGCTTCCCGAAGCCTGGTACAGGCTACAAGGATTGTAGCTTGCACTGGCCTGCAGCTGGACACGATTTAGATGACTAATCAGGTGTGAGGTATGCTATCTACCTGAATCCGATTTACAAGGCTTAGTATAAATAGGGCCTTATTGACCGTGCCTCTGGTCCCACAAGCACCATGTATACATGTAGTACCCTACATGAACCAACCAACCAACCAACGTCATTGAGCCGACTATCATGAGAGATAGATAGATAGATAGATAGATAGATAGATAGATAGATAGATAGATAGATAGATAGATAGATAGATAGATAGATAGATAGATAGATAGATAGACCGAAGTCTGCTTAGATAGAGGAGGCGAACTACGTACGTATTGATAGACGCTGCATTCATTAATTCTAAAGTATACCTTGGCATGTTGGAACAGGATTACTCCATGTTCCATCAGCTTGGCACGTCGCAGCAGCGACGCCGTTTAGTGTGTATCCCGGGTTACAGGTGAAGGTTACCCCGTTCGGGAAGGAGACCGCTCCGGTAGGACTCACCGCTCCGTTAGCTGGGGCCGCCCGAGCCGAACATTGGACCGCTGCAATGGCAAATAATGACAGCAAATTGTGGGCAGGGAAATTTCGGCACTTGGTTTTTTTAGGCAAACCACTAACAATACATAAACAGTCGCAGTGCTCGCTCCCCGATGCGTGGTCATGCTAAATAGGATACCATTTTAAACAACAAGAATCGAGGCTTTCAAATACAGAATAAATAAAGTGCAATGGATAAAAATTATAGGTAGAGGTAGTGCTGTTCAGTTGGTATCCCGGGTTGCATTTAAAGGGTACCATGTCAAGGTAGAACCTAGCTCCGATGTGACGCAGGACTCCGAACGCTGGGGCCGTCAACGCCGGACATATTGTCTGGCTGCAAAAGTTAAATAGTCTTGGTTAACTGGTATACAGCCCTTCATACCCCACTTCGCATGAGAGGCGCAATAAACGTTAAACCGCTGTGCCGTCTGAATGAACTTTATTCTTGGATATTCCTGGATTCTTGCGAATTAATGCATTTACCTTCTAATACCCTATTTACTATGCGGTGAATCTGTCTAAACTGAAGTTCAATGTTAGCATACATGTAGATGGACTTGAAAGTCATCTTACGATTGCACGTTGGTACAGGATCACTCCATGTTCCGTCAGCTTGGCAGGTTGCAGATGCAGCGCCTGTCCGTACGTATCCCGAGTTACAGGTGAAGGTGACCCCGTTCGGGTAGGAGACCGCTCCGGTAGGACTCACCGCTCCGTTTGTTGGGGCTCCCCGAGCCGGACATTGGACCGCTGCAATTATCAATAACCTTTTATGATTAACGGATCTAACGTTATTTTTTAACTGGAAATCCTAACACGACGCTTGCTCGTTTGATAGACACTTTGTATATTTGTCCACCATCTTTTCAATATTGTGAAATAACGAGTTTACCTTAAGTGTTAAAGCTTCTAACATTATATAATATAGGGTGTGGGTACGTTTCTTAACTACAATTTGATGTTCAACGCTAGCATACATATCAACGTGAACGTCGCCTTACGTGTGCATGTTGGAACAGGACTAAACCATGTTCCGTCAGCTTGACAAGTTGGAGTAGCAGCGCCGTCCAGTGTGTATCCCGGGTTACAGGTGAAGGTGACCCCGTTCGGGTAGGAGACCGCTCCGGTAGGACTCACCGCTCCGTTAGCTGGAGCCGGCCGAGCCGGACATGTTCTGGCTGAAATGGAAAGTGAACAAAAAATCCTCTGCAAAGCCTGCATATAAAATCATAATATGTTAAACATGCAGGTGTACACACACACACACACACACACACACACACACACACGCGCGCGCGCGCACACACACACATACACATTTCCTATTTTTCATCCTATCTATTTATGTCGAATTGTATAAACTACGTTTTGTTATTTTATTATTTTGTTTGGAGGTCAACTTACTTTGGCATGTTGGAACAGGACTATTCCACGTTCCGTCAGCTTGGCACGTCGGGGTAGCAACGCCGTTCAGTGTGTATCCCGGGTTACAGGTGAAGGTGACCCCGTTCGGGTAGGAGACCGCTCCGGTAGGACTCACCGCTCCGTTAGCTGGGGCCGTCAAAGCCGAACATTGTACCGCTGCAATGTGAAGTAAAAGTAAGTCTCATTCTACGTACTTCACAATTGGTCTCATTCTACGTACTTCACAGGTTGTGTATATAAACCTGCTTTCCCCTCTGGTCTCTCAGTCACTGACGAAAGCTAGTGGATACTAGCTGAAACGTCTGACGTTTTCAAAATCATATCCAGTTGCTTGAGTAACTGTTTTTTGGCGAACTTCACAATATCTCATATATGCGTTTTGTACAGTGGGGTATGTTACATTTAGATGAGTAATCAACAACAAAGGGCCCTTTGGGTACTGTATACTGGTACCAACATATCTAGTACGATGGTCGTTAGTAGACGTCTGTTTGCGAATGTTTGAACGTTCACTTCTCATGATCACATCGCTATAGCCTCGGTCACAACCCTAGTACGTGCTTTTTGTCCGTACGTTTTTTTGGGAGGCTACGTCTGCTACGTTTTTTTCTGAAAACGTGGTAAAGGAGTGGAATCGACGCACTTCACTCGCTCGATTAGCAAGGTGTAAGAGTGTGGTCTGCACGCCACGCCTGGCCGTGAGCGGTTGCGTGCATCGTTCGTTGCGCAAGTGGTGAGTTGTACGTGCTCACAACGTACGATCTCTGTGCGATTGCAACTTTACCGTAAGGAGGCCGTACTCACAAGTGCTTCCTCCATACGGGGCACGCACGTCGCTCGTACTAGCACGCACGGGCAGTGAATCCGCAGACCGCACGTAGAAAAGGTTTTACATGCACTTAATGTTCTACGGCGTGTCTGCGTACTCCCATATCCGTTGGATTCCGTACGGAGGTGGTACTTACCACGGACGGATGCCCTACGTTTGCCCACGTTTTTGCACGTAGACAGCATGCAGAAGCACGTACGGCGGGTTGTGACCGAGGCTTATATAGCATGTATAGTATAGGTGTGTAAAGGCTCATTGATTGCGCTGTTTTGTAAATGTTGAGTCAAAAGTCATCTTACGTGTGCATGTTGGAACGGGATTACTCCATGTTGTGTCAGCTTGGCAGGTGGTACGAGCAGCGCCGCTCGGTTGGTATCCCGTATTACAGGTGGTCGTGACCACGGTCCGGATGGCGGTATCTGTGGTGCTGAGCGCTCCGTTAGCCGGGGCCGTCAGAGTTGGACATTGGATCGCTGAAATGGAAAGTAGAGAAAGGAACATCTTGTCAAATCTAAAAACCAAATCAAATCTGTTCAACAGGGTAGGACATCTAGGAGTCACGTCGACACAGTTGCATTCTAGCTTCTATCAGCCTGGTCATGCAGCACTGGCATTGCCCGACAGTGCTAGAGCAGTGCCACATCTAGGAAAGTGTATGCCCGATAGGACATAGACTACTGGGCAGGACGCCAAGAGGAACTGTTACAGGCGTGGTACCCACCGTTACAAATGTTCTCCCTTATAGGTGCGGCGTGTGAGTCGTCCATAAGGAAGTCATAGTCCGTCAGTCTGAACACCCTGCTCGGATCACCAGCAATAGTTTCTAGAGTTGCTTGACTAATGTCACTTTCCTCGCCAACTCCCACAGCAAACACGGTGATGCCCATGTCGCGTATCAGTTGAGAGGGAACGATGACGTCGTCCTCAGGTACACCGTCGGTTAATACCACCAAAAAGTCAAGAGTACTACTCCGCCGGCCGTTTACTTCGAGGAAGGAATTGTTGCGCACGTAATCGAGACCAAGTCCTGTGTAGGTACTGCCTCTGTCGTAGGGAATGTTGCCAATTTCTTCCAAGAGTTCGACTCTGGTGTAATTTTCGTTGAGCCTAACCCAAGTAACCTGCTTGTCGGCGTTGCTGAACGTCACAACACCGACCCTTGTGTCGTTTTCTCCGAGAGTAAAATAGTTGACTACATTCTGAAGAAACAGCTTTGCATCATCGAAACCGCTTGTCCTGAAACTCTCCGAGCTGTCTACAAGGAAGACCAGGTCTACCGGATAAGGGCACAGGGTGGCTGAAAAGATACGTTTAATATAGTTGACATGTCACGAAATTGAACAGTGATAACTTCATGGTTTGAATCAATTGTAGCTAGTATCAACATTGCATGATTGGTTGATTGCTCAAAAAGAGCATTTACGTTGATTGGTCAAAAAGAGCATTACATTGAATTGTCAAAGAAGAGCATATATATAAAATCGTCAAAAAAGAGCATTTACATTGAACGGTCAAAAAATGAGCATTTACATAGAATGGTAAAAAGGAAACCTTTACATTGAATTATCTAAGGAGAGAATTTAGGCCATATTGATTTGATTATATGGGTGACATCCGCGCGCGCATGAATTTTCGTCCGTTTCCGAAAAAGTTTTCGACCATACAGTAAATCGTACAAAATGAGCAAATATATGTCGTATGTTGCAAAAAAAGGTATTGAAGAACGATACTAATGTCATAGAATGCCGATATCAATTCAGGAAAAGAAGAAAATGTGAATAAATGAAATTGATGAGTCTATTATTATTTGCCATATCATACTCTGTGAGTTTAGTCATTTGTTCAACCTTTATGACCACGTAGATTTCATAATGAAGGAAACATTTTCTGCCATTTTTTTTTCATTCGCACGCTCGCGTCAGTTTTGGGGTTCCCGGAAGATGTCATCAATACAATCAAATCAACATGGCCTTACATAGAATGTGCGAAAAAAGAGCATTTGCATTGCTTGTAATCAATGTCACTGCAATATATGAAGTTCTGTGCATACCTTATGCATTGTAAATACACATATTTATCAATGTGAAGTATCATCAGAGAAAACCCATCAACATTACACGGTATTTAAATTACATATAGTCATAATGTTGTAACTCTATCTTGTTCTTTTTTCAAGTTTTCTGCTACATAGATTGTGAATAAGATATAAGCACACTTACGTAATGCTGGTGGAAGCGTGGAGGCTGAAAGATAAAAAGGGGGTAATATACTATTTATAAGTTTACTGAGATAGCGACCCTCTATCTCATTCATTCATTAGAAGTATCTAGTTTATGTAGTGTATGTAGTGACATAATGCGATACGTTTGAGACAACCGTTATGACGTGTGAAGGTAGTTATCACGGCTTTTGACTTAAATTGTTTTTTTTTTTATGAAAAAATGAGATGAAGGAATGAGAGGAAGGACAAGGCAATATTGTAACGATAAGACTCCAAAACATTACGCAAGTCGTTTGAGGCAGGCCCTGTCAAAATTCTGGTTCTTTTTGTAGTCAAATTCCTCAGCATTGGGAGGGAGGGGGGGTTAGGAACCATGTCAGACAAAAACTACCACTCCTGGTGTTGGCAAAACCGCCTTACAGTATAATATTTTTTTGCATGAAAACGTGCACCTGACAATATGTGTCTTTTTCTATGAGTCCATTACATCGAATATGAAGTAAAAGTAGAAATGATCTCCACATGAGATCCATTCTGTCACGACCATGCTCCGTCAGCTTGGCCACGAGACATCCTTAAAAAAACGTCTTTTTGACAACGTTTAAATATCAAAAATGGACGACTCCTCTTTTGCTCTTAGCGTGCGCTTGTAACACACTCCATTTTGCTAAAAACTACATGTCAGTATCAAACTCGTCTTACGTGTGCATGTTGGAACAGGGCTACTCCATGTTCCGTCAGCCTGGCACGTCGGAGCAGTAACCCCGTTCAGTGTGTATCCCGTATTACAGGTGAAGGTGACCCCGTTCGGGTAGGGGACCGTTCCGGTAGGACTCACCGCTCCGTTAGCTGGGGCCGCCCGAGCCGGACATTGGACCGCTGCAAGGGAAAGTACAAACAGAAACAATGTATATTACAAACACACAAATTTAATGTATGTATGTCTTCTGTTGAGTAGAATAGCTATTTCCAGATGAGGAATCGATTTTTTTTTTGGCCACAAACCTACCTAACTGGCATTATAGGTTCTACATGTATAAAGAGCGACGTCACCAATCGTAAGTAGACGTCTATTTGCCAAGAATCAAATGTTGAAAGGGCCAATCCTTCTTATTTTCTCACCACTAAAGTATTGGCGTCAAAAATTCATTTCGCTAGAAATTATTAGCGTAATCTATATTAGTACCGAATTCATCTTACGTGTGCATGTTGGAACAGGATCACTCCATGTTCCGACCTGGCAGGTCGTAGATGTAGCGCCATTCAGCACGTATCCCGAGTTACAGGTGAAGGTGACCACGGTATTGTAGGAAGTCGCTGTGGTACTGATAGCTCCGTTAGCCGGGGCCGTCAGCGTCGAACATTGTCCAACTGAAACGGCAAAATATTCATGTTCTGATACCTAGGTACAGTAACTATATACTGACAAATAAGTGATACAAATAATTAGGTACTATACAAAATGCAATGCACTGAAGTCAAATGGGACTTCCGTCAGAAAAAAAAACTTTTTTGACAATTGAATCTTGAAAAGAGCCTCCCCTTCGTACTTTTCCACGAGAACAGGGTAGGTGCTAAAATATCACATTTTAATAGCTAAAACTGCCTGTACTGATATGACTGTCAAACTCATCACACCTGTGCATGTTGGAACAGGATTACTCCGTGTTCCGTCAGCTCGGCATGTCGTATCAGCAGCACCACTCCGTACGTATCCCGGGTTACAGGTGAAGGTGACCACGGTAGGGAAGGCGTGTGGCCCGAGAGGACTCAGAGCTCCGTTAGTTGGGGCAGTCAACGCCGGACCACCCTCCCGAGCAGGGTTAGTGGCTCGGCCCGAAAGGGTCCTCCTCCACTAACCCTGCCAATCCTGATTCGATCTGAGCCTCCAGCCCAGGAAGCCTATACATATTAATGAGCTTGCCTTATTTGGCACATGCTCTATCTTGAGACTGTAGCTCCGCCGCTGCTCTGGCTGCGGCTGGAAAGCCCATGTAGCACAGACCTTTCCCTCCGCCTGTCCTCACACTAAGGAACACGTCTCGTCCATCAAGCAGTCCCTGCAGCATGCTTTTTTGGTGTTCGTGAAGCTGTTCGACGCCGGCTGAGAAAACATTACCAGCCGCCATATTACAGGAAACCCAAACCAGCGATGTAAGACGTAACGTGATTGGCTGTCGGATTCCCAACGACCTTTGCCCTTAGCTTTCCACAAGTGAAAGCTGTGTCTTTAATTGGCTGAAAGCTTGTTATAGGCTTCCTGGGCCGGAGGCTCAGATCGAATCAGGATTGGCAGGGTTAGTGGAGGAGGACCCTTCCGGGCCGAGCCACTAACCCTGCTCGGGAGGGTGCGCCGGACATGGTCTCGCTAAAATTGTCAATAACCTGTTATTATTACCTCCACGATATGTCATGGAGGTTTTAATTTGTCGGTCTGTTAGTCAACAAAATAATTCACGAACGGATGGATGAATTAGTTTCCTACTTGGTGTGTCGGTAGGGTGTGGCAAAAGCTGGAAATGATTAGATTTTGGGCCCCCTGGCCTTGTCCCTTCCCTTGGTAGTGCAGCACAACTTCTGGTTTCGATAACTCGCGATCTGGACATGTTGTGATCATGAATTTTATAAGGTAGGTAGCTCTTGTCCTTGGAAAGACGTCATGTGAGTTTGGGCCTACTAGCAGCTTGGTCAGGAACTGCAGGATGGTTTGTTTGAAAACTCTCTGAGAGAGGATAACTAAACAACCATTTGACGGGTCGTCGTGATTTTTGGTATATAGGTAGCTTAAGTGATGACACACACGAGTGGACTTTAATTATGCAAATCATGATCTAATTTTCATAATTAATGAGGAAATGCTATAAATCTGCTGTATTTCATACTAAATATGGGCACTGTATACGAAATTTATCTAGAACGACAGTCGTTGTTAGACGTCTGTTTGCCAATGTTTAAACGTTCATATCGTGGCCTCACTTCTCATGCTCTTGCCACTATAGTTTAAAAGTTCCTTTTGCTCGAAGTTGATATGTGACTATGTGTCATCTTACGTGTGCATGAAGGAACAGGATTACTCCATGTTGTGTCAGCTTGGCACGTCGGAGTAGCAGCGCCGTTCAGTGTGTATCCCGGGTTACAGGTGAAGGTGACCCCGTTCGGGTAGGAGACCGCTCCAGTAGGACTCACCGCTCCGTTAGCTGGGGCAGCCCGAGCCGGACATTGGACCGCTGTAATGGGAAGTTAAGGAAAAACAAGTTTGGCAAATCTTGAAAAACAATTACAATATCTTGTATATGACTTGGGTATGACTTCTGCCAAGTAGGATATGTACATCTAGGTGAGGAATCGCAGAAACCTGGATCGGCCCAATATATAATACATGTAGGAGACCGACTTCGGCAGCAGTTACTAGTCCGTTAGCTTGGGCTGTCAGTACCGGACATTGCAGAGAAACTCCAAAAAGTTTGTTTTTTTGCCCAAGCAGGGAAAAGTAGAACATTGGATTCCTTCTGCAGAGTACGTTACGTATATAATAGTACTGGTCATAAATCGATATTTTTGAGAAAAAAAAATGCAGTGCCCTTTAGTCATACTTGTCAGAACAGTTACGTTCTACATGTAGTTCTGTCTGTCTGGCCATGGAGCAGTGGTATTGCCAAGCACTGGGTTTCATGCACGTTGACATCACATCTAGGGAGGTGTTTGCACTGACAGAACATACATGGAGACAACCACGTCATAGAGCCATTACAGCAGAACGGTTGGTCACTGGAGTGAGAAAGGAAAGGTCTTTCTTTAATCTTCGCAGATCATAAAAGCTTGTGCAATTCGGGGATAGAGCCACTTTCAATCTAGACCACGCATCCTACACACAACACCTACCTACATACCAAATATCATTAAAATCCATCCGAAGATTCAAAAGTTATGCTGGCCGCAAATGTCGGGAAACACACACACACACACACACACACACACACACACACACACACACACACACACACACACACACACACACACACACACACACACACAGACAGACACACACACACACAGACACGCCAAAACAATACCTCCATTTTACATGGAGATAAATATGCTGATACCATTGAAGGTTGGAACACTGCCAGATCTGTTTTTTTTTAATCTGCACGTACTAACGATGGTGCCGACCACCTGCTTAATGTGCTACCATACATTAACTTGCAGGCGATCTTACCTTGGCATGTTGGAACAGGGTTACTCCACGTTCCGTCAGCTTGACAGGTAAGAGTAGCAACGCCGTTCAGTGTGTAACCCGAGTCACAGGTGAAGGTGACCCCGTTCGGGTAGGAGACCGCTCCGGTAGGACTCACCGCTCCGTTAGCCGGTGCCGCCCGGGCTGGACACTGGACCGCTGCAATGGGAAGTAAGGAAAAAAAACAACATTGAAGAAGCTTGATGTAAAATCACAACATCTTGTGTATGAGTTCTGCTAAGTACGATATGTAAATCAATGAGAGAAATTGCAATTGATATCGCTATACAGAAACCTGGACTGGTCTATATATACTAAGTAATAGGTAGAAGACCCATCCGGCAGGTGTCACCACTCCGTTATAAGCTGGCTCCGTTAACTCCGTCCGTACCTGACATTGGACCGCAGCAATGGAAAGTAAGGAAAAACAAAGTTGACGAAGCTTGATATAAAATCACAACATTAGGTATGACTTACGCCAAGTACATCTACAGTATGTGAGGGATCGATATTTCGAAACAGAAAACTGAAACGGCCTGTGTACTAAATACAGGTTAGAAAACGCTTCGGCAGAGAACACTGCTCCTAACATTGGATGGCTGCAATGAAAAATACAAAGAAATTTGTTTTTTTACAAAGCAGGGAATAGTACAATACATTGCATTCATTCCTTCTGCAGGGTAGGGTATGTACATACTGATCATAAATTGATATTTGTTGCCACCAATTGCAAACTATACCCTTTAGTCACACCGGTACATGTCAGAACAGTTGCGTTCTACATGTAGTTCTGTCAGCCTGGTCACATCTATGGAGGTGTTTGCAGCTACAGAACACACATTAAGGCAACCATGTAATAGAGCCATTAGAGCAGAGCAGTTGGTCTCTACACTGAGGGAGGAAAGGTTTTTGTCTTTGTTCTGCCTGTACAATTCGGGGATAGGGTCACTTTTAAGCAATACCACGCAGCCGATGAATAAAATTCTAATACCATTGAAACTTGGGACGCTTCCCGACCTGTTACTTTAACTTCAAGTTAGTAAGTAAGTTCTACTGGTAGTGCCTACCGCCTATTAAATGTGGTAGCATATATCAACTTGCTGGCGATTTTACCTTGACACGTTGGAACAGGATTACTCCACGTTGTGTCCGCTTGGCACGTCGGAGTAGCAACGCCGTTCAGTGTGTATCCCGAGTTACAGGTGAAGGTGACCCCGTTCGGGTAGGAGACCGCCCCGGTAGGACTCACCCTTCCGTTAGCCGGGGCCGCCCGAGCCGGACATTGGGCCACTGCAAGGGAAGTAAGGGAAAAAAAAGAAAGCTTGGCAAAACTTGAAATAAAACCACAATATCTTGGGTATTACTTCTGCTAAGTAGGATATGTACGAGGAAACGATATTTCTATACAGAAACCGGGACCGGTCCTTTACACCAGATACAGGTATTAGACTGCTTCGGTAGAAGTCATCGCTCCGTTTAATAGCTGGAGCCGTTATTGCCAGACATCGCTGCAATGGAAAGTACAAAAAGGATTTTTTTTGTGAAAGCAGGTAGTGGCGCATTGCATTTCTTCTGCGGGGAATGAACATACGGATGGTTAAATGATATTTGTGGACAAAAATGTGCAAACCACGCCCTTATAATCAAATCATACCAGTACATCAGTAAATCATACAGAACTGTTGCATTCTAGGTACATTCAGTTCTACCAGCCTGGCCATGGAGCAGTGGTAATGCCAAGCACCGTGTATCACGTTGACACCACATCTATCTAGAGAGGTGTTTGCACCGAAAGAACATACATGGAGACAACCATATGATAGAGGCATTACAGCAGAACAGTTGGTCACTGGACTGAGGAAGGAATGGTCTTTGTATTTGTTCTGCCTGTACAATTCGGGGATAGGGGCACTTTTAAGCGAGACCACGCAGCCGATACAAAATATGCACAGCCGGATACCAAAGAAAGTTGGGCACTTACGGACCTGTTATTTTAAGTTAGGCCATGTTGATTTGATTATATGGATGGCATCCACGCGCACATGAATTCTCGTCTGTTTCTAAAAAGTTTTCGACCATACTGTAAATCGTACAAAGTAGCTGCAATATGAGAAAATATATGCCGTAAGTTAAAAAAAATATTGGAAAACGACACTCATGTCGCAGAATGCCAAAATCCATTCTAAAGGACAAGGATTATTATTATGGTCTATTACTCATCATGCTAATCAAATATCAGTCTGTGTGTCATTTGTTCAACATTTATGACCACCTAGATTTTATAATATAGGCATTTTTGCCAACCTTTTTTTTTATTCACAGTTATTATTATTGCATCAGTTTTGGACTTCCCAGAGGATGTTATTCATATAATCAAATCAACATGGCCTTAGCATGTTCCATGTACGACCACCTACTAAATGTGCTAGCGTATATCGACTCGCAGGTGGTCTTACCTTGGCATGTTGGAACAGGACTACTCCAAGATCTGTCAGCTTGGCATGTCGGAGTAGCAGCGCCGTCCAGTGTGTATCCCGAGTTACAGGTGAAGGTGACCCCGTTCGGGTAGGAGACCGGACCGGTAGGACTCACCGCTCCGTTAGCTGGGGCCGTCCGAGCCGGACATTGGACCGCTACAATAGAAAGGCAAAAACAACACTCTCTGTTAAATCTTGATAAAAAGAATCACAATATCTTGTGTATGAGAAGGATATCTACATATAGGTGAGAACTATTTCTTTGCAGAAACCCGCACAGCCAGGTCTATATACTAAAATATATGTATATACTATATATTGAACGGCAGCCGTTAGTAGACGTCTGTTTGGTTATAACATTTGAACGTTGCAAGTGGCCCACCTTCTCATGTCCTCACTGATATAGTGCGGACGTGTGAAACTTGATTTTACTAGCTATAGTATATAGAACATGCTTGTAACTATATGCGTCACATTACCTGTGCATGTGTGGACAGGATTACTCCAAGACCCATCAGCTCGACACGTCGAACTTGTAGCACCGGCCAGTGTGTATCCCGTGTTACAGGTGAAGGTGACCCCGTTCGGGTAGGAGACAGCTCCGGTAGGACTCACCGCTCCGTTAGCTGGGGCCGTCAGTGCAGTGCATTGGACCGCTGCAATGGGAAGTACAAACAGAAAAAAATGGGCAAAGTAGAGAATCGAATCACAATGTATTCGTTCTGTAGAGTAGGCCATGTACATCTTAGTTTCAAATCGACACTTGTTGACAAAATCTGCAAGCCATATGTCACACTAGTACATGCTAGAACAGTTGGATTGTACATGTAGTTCTGTCAGCCTGGTCATGGAGCAGCCAGCACCGTGTAGCACATTGTCACTACATCTATGGAAGTGTTTGTACCTACAGAATATACATGTCCTAGTGTCATTACAGCTAAGAAAAATTCGTCACTGAACTGAGGAAGGAAAGGTCTTTGTTCTGCCTGTACACTTTCGGGATAGGACCATTTTCAAGCTAGACCACGCAGCCGATACAAAATATGCTCCGTCTGATGACACTGAAAGTTGGGACACTTCCGGACCTGTTATTCTAACTCGGCATGTATGACCACCTACTAAATGTGCTAGCATATATTAAATCGCAGTTGATGTTACCTTGGCATGTTGGAATAGGATTACTCCACGTTCCGTCAGCTTGGCACGTCGGAGTAGCAGCGCCGTTCAGTGTGTATCCCGGGTTACAGGTGAAGGTGACCCCGTTCGGGTAGGAGACCGCTCCGGTAGGACTCACCGCTCCGTTAGCTGGGGCCGCCCGAGCCGGACATTGGGCCGCTGCAAAGGGAAGTAAGGAAAAAAAGAAGCTTGGTAAAGCTTGAAATAAAACCACAATATAATGGGTATGACTTCTGCTAAGTAGAATATGTACATCTAGGCGATCAAGGAAAGGATATTTCTATACAGAAACCTGGACCGGCCCTTTATACCAGATACAGGTATGAGACCGCTCCGGCAAAAGTCATCGCTCCGTTAGCTGGAGCCGTTATTGCCAGACATTGGATCGCTGCAATTGAAGGTACAAACGGATTTTTTTTAAAGGATTTTTGTCAAAGCAGGAAGTTAGAAGAAAAGAAGCTTGGTAAAGCCTGATGTAAAATCACAATAAACGTTGAAAGTGCCCTGCCATTTTGATCATGTTCTCACTGATATAGTGCGGGTGTGTAAAACTTGATTTTGCTAGAAGGTGCTTGTACACATTACCTGTGCATGTATGGACAGGATTACTCCAAGACCCATCAGATCGGCACGTCGAACTTGTAGCACCGACCAGTGTGTATCCCGAGTTACAGGTGAAGGTGACCCCGTTTGGGTAGGAGACCGCTCCGGTAGGACTCACAAATCCGTTAGCTGGGGCCGTCAGAGCAGGGCATTGGACCGCTGCAATGGAAAGTACAGAAAGAAACAATTTGGGCAAAACAGAAAAGAAAATCACAATGCATTCCTTCTGCAGGGCTTGTACATCTTAGTTATAAAGCGACGCTTGTTGACAAAATCTTAATTCACACCAGTTGCATTGTACATATAACGTTAGTTTCTGTTGGCCCTGTCATGTAGCAATAACATTGCCAAACATCTTGTGTCACTTGTCACTACATCTAGGTAGGTGTTTGCATTTGCAGAGCATACATGAATACAGTCATGTCTGCGTTACATTTGACGGAGGTTGCGTTAGCGGCGCGATACTGGTGCGCCGTCGTCGCGATAACGTCGCGACGATATCGCGATGATACCGCGTTACGGTAACGCAGTTTGTATGGCCGGAGCCTCATAGGTAGCTCCGCGTCACCCGCGTTATTTCTCGAGTGATCGGTCGCGTTATCCATTCATATGCACGGGGGGCGTCATGAGTTGATTAGTGCCCCGCCTACACAGCGTGTCGAAGTAACCAATTATTTTCAGCTATTCCCGTGTTTTCGGTACTGAAATAAGCATATTCATACCTGATTTTTTTTGTAGGTTTTACTGACGTTTGTCAAAATCAAGACGTTTAATGTTACAGATAAGATAAGGTAGGATAAGAGAACTTTGAAAACGTAAGTTTTAGAGCACACTAGGACGTGTGCCCCGATCAGCGAAGCCACGCGGACCGACCGGGAAAATTCGGTAGCGGAATACACATTTGCTTACGGGGAGGAAAGGCAACAGGCATTTTGTTTTCAAAACTCGAATGCGAAATATAAGTATTGAACAAACATCTCATGAATAATTGCATCCACAGAATCAAAACAAAAGTTTCGAATGTTGAGTCAAATCAGAAGTATTGAGGAATGGACATGTAATGACGATAATTAAAGTCAAAATTCACATAAATCTCGCGATAGACACTGCGCGCGGCGGCGCAAGCCTGTCAAAATTGATTGATGAACTCCGACCCAAACGCCGACAGGGCGGTCGGAGTTTCAGATCAAAGGCGGCACAACCTAGCCCGGCACTTTACTTATCCTAATATTGTCCTTGGCTACACTCACTTTTTCGGTAAAAATACGTCTAACCAAGGTCCTTTGTTGCTGTAAATTTTACCGACAGCGTCACGCTGAAGGGTATATGAAAACGATCCCAGCAAAAGACAGGGCTTTTATTTTTTCCAAGATTGACGCCACTGACGTATGTGGAAAATGATTTTGGCAAAAAAAGATGACAATTTATATACCGGGAACAAGCACATTATACCAGTACTATACCACCAGACCGTACTCGAATCACGCACCGGCGACATGTCCGGACATAAATGCTTGATACACGTGTATCTTATCTTATCCCTGACTGTATATTTGCATTACCTTGAGTTACTAGAGTCGTTTGTGTCGCTTTACTGTTGCAATCGTAAATAATGCTTTGCTGGAATTTTTGCAGAAAAAATAGCTCGCTTCAAATGCTATCTTATTGAAATCTCGAGTAAGCGCATATTATTTGAAAATAGTCTGACTTGTTTCTTTGTTTGGTGAGCAAAGAAGAGCCACGTGATTTTTTCGACGTTCGGTAAATCAGATCTCCATGTGAACCAGTAAAATCATGTGTAAAACGTTTAACTAGTCTTCTAAATTTTAACCACAGATGTCTGTTGTTGTTACCATTATGGTCTACTAAAGTGCAACACTTTAGAAAATCCGTAATTTATGCAGTATTGTTATGCACGGTGAAGCACGTCGGCACATTGTTTGCTAATTAGCGGGATTAATCCCAAAGGGCGGCCGTCGAAGCCCGACCCGGGCCGGGAGCTTGGCAGATCAGCGCAGCCCGCCTGCCAGCCCCGCACCGCCGGCGGTATAATGGGTCAAAGGTCATTGAAGTACGTTTCAAAACGACGTTTCGGAACGTAGACATGCTGGAGCATGCTTTGGTACTTTTTCTACCATTTCTGAAAGCAGCGCTTCATACCGGCCATATTTACTTGAAACTGGATATGATTACATACCCATCGCCCTTTTTCCTGAGTCAGATCGTCTCCGTGAGTTAAAGTAGTTGTACTGTTGTACTCAGTTTCTCAACCATGTCCCTGGAAGCCTGGACAAACTTTCGCGCCAAAGATAGGTCTGGATTTTTGGTTTTGTATGTGCCGTCCAATACCCTCTGTATTACTAGTAACTGAAAACAACACTACGATGGCCATCAAATTAATTTCTATTACACCAAGGACATAATGTCCTTGATTACACTATTTTTGTGTGTGTACCCTGTCCAGTGTATTATATTGCCGATCCATGAAGGTCGTTGGTTACATCAATTTCAACAGCTTTGTAACAATTTTTGGCTAGCAATGTGCTGCATAGTAATTGGAAAAAAGGTGCCTAAGCTTAATTTCGTTCCCCGCATCCGTTTGTTAGGACTAGGGCTAAATCATTAGGAAATTTAGCATGATGCGGCGGCTGGAGACGTAAAAAATATATATTTCGTATAAATATTTTAATTATTTCCGTGACATTTTTTTCAGGTTCATCCTCTTTGTGATCGAGTTACGAGACTGTGCTGTGCGCAACATTTGCTGACTTTGCAGGATTAACAGGATTACTTTCATTTTTTCTCATTTGTTCAATGTTGACGTTCGGTTGTTGACTAGCAAGTTTTTTTTCCGTTTGGTTTGACGTTCGGTTGTTGACTAGATTTTTTATTTCGTTTTGACGTTAGTTTGTTGACACCGATTTGTTATGTATTTGTTACGTTTTTGTATTATCTATTCCATATAAGTTTTTACTAACGAAACTTTACTACTAGTAACTGGCTTTCACACAACTAACAATTTCATAACATTGAAGCTTAAAATGAAACGATGTTAACGATATTCTTAAGTATGATACATACAAGAAACGAAAAAAGCTATACATAGGACACGTCGGACAAATGAACTAGAAGATTGTAAACTGGTCACTGCTGAACCTGACCCCACGTGGAAGCGCCCCAGAGGTCGTCCCAGAAGGCGCTGGGAGGATCTGCCCTTCGACTTCCTGAGGAGAGTGGGCGTCACCAAGGACTCCTGGAGAGTCCTCGCTGCTGATAGAAGCCTCTGGAGACAGCTGTCTACGGCCGCCATGCTTCTACCCTGAAGCCCGCGGAGGATTGATTGATTGATTGATTGATTGATTGTAAAAAAAGTTTTTAAATATCTATCAAACGGTACACATTGTACTAGAAGTGATTCATGTATGTGATCTTTACAAAAAAATCCTTACACGTAACCCATACTTTTATTTTCACTGCTTAATTTAAACTTATCTGCATCCGTTACTACCTTTCGGAATTTCCACCTCAAATATACTACATGTATTAGTAGCCTAGTACATGTGAAAATGCCAGCAGACCGGACTGGGAATAACTTTGGGGGCTTCTCACGTCTTCTTCGTTTTGCGATATTCATTTCAGGTGTGAAGTTCCAATATCACGTTGAAGTGCCAATTACCTTGCCAATTTGCATAATGCTTGGACCTTTGTTTTGGTTTCGGTCTGAAAATTAACGACAGTATTCTTGACCAAAGAGGGTTAAATACGACAGCTATCCAGATGGTTATGCCGCCCCCATATATTTTAACATTTTGAAACATTTCGTAGCCGAATTCACCGAACACTAACCGACCAAGCCAACCTACACATATAAAGCATGATTGCGGGGAGTTCGGGAATTCGTGAATGTGTGACAGGGGCTCTACAGCTCACCCGTAGCCTATAATATCACACTAGAATCCTGAAAATCTTGTGTTGTAACCTTCACCTTGTTCCATCCTCATGCCAGAGGTCCGAGACTTGCTGACGATGACTCGCGACGTTACAAGTTTTTCTACTTCCAACTGTCCATAACGTTGAAAAAAAAACTCGCAAGCAATTGCAACAACTTCCCCATGCGGGACCGTTCGGCTAAGATGTACACCACACCACACCAGCTCCCTTTCAGCGGTCTCTCTCTCTCTCGGACGCCATGAACCAACGTTTTACAAGTCAACAGTTGCCTATGATGACATACTTGAATCCTACATATTATGCCATATTACAGAAAACTTTTCAAGGGATTAAGACGTTGTCGGCTTTAGAAAACAACACGGAACTACAATTTCTGCAAAAAAAGGTCAACAGGCGTGCTCATGCCATGTAATGAAACCTGCTCCATCAGTATTTCAGTTCGGTCGTCAATTTCAAGTACCTTTATATACAAGTCATCCTTTCCCTATAATATACTTGTATGCTACTTACCATGCCATATTACAGAAAGCGTTTTCAGGGGCATAAGGTGTTCTCGGTTTTGGAAAACAACACGAAACCATCAATTTTCATATAAGGCAGGACGT